AACCCCCTTATCCCCTCTTTCCTGCTTCTCTCATTCTTCTTCCCTTTCTATAAAAGAAGGCTCTGTGGTGCCACTAACTGCCCCAGCCATGCCACTTTCCTTTGTTTTGCTACTGAAAGTGCTTGTCTGCACTTACTATTTTAATTTCCTCTGCTCAGGTCCTAGACTCTCTTCCAGTCCTTTGCCTCCAAGCTCTCTAGGTCATTTGTACTCTGATCCTTGTTCAAGCCTAGAAGTAGTTGCTCCAGCCCACATAGCACAGCTTTGATGTAGCTGAACCCGCTTCTGTTGAAATATTTACTTGAATTCCATAATATGCTCTTGGTGGTCCTCCCATCATCTATCTGATCATTGTCAGTGTATTCTTCAAATAGTCTAATAAAGCAAGCTCTGCCTGTTTCTGTTCCTATTCTCGTCTCCTATGCCTTGCCTTTCTGTAGTCTCAATTGCCGAGATAGCTTAGATTTGATTTTTCTGACTTGTTTAAATCTAGTCTTTGGCTCAATTTCAACAGTGCTGAAAGAGAGCGCTCTTAATCTTTCTTCTCAAATCCCCCAGCCCTTTTCTGGGTTGCTCTAAGAAACCCCTGGCCATCATTCCAGCCCGTTTGCTGGGCATCAGAGCACGTGGCTGAGTGCGGCACAATTCTTGCAGGTACTTTCTCTGTGACATCGCTGAAATATGGCCTTCCCCATCTATCTGCACAGATTAAATTCTCGTTTTATGTCTTGATTACTCCAGCATCTCTCTGTCCCTGGTTAATGCAATCTTGTGTTGTTCCTGTATCCGCACTGGCACTGTGACGATGGCTCCCTTGCCCCTCGTTTGATGCACGTTGCTGTCTTGCCTCTTGGCATCAGTTCTGCTTTTGTGTCTCATCCCACCTCAGCGGCATTTCTCATTCCTTACTGAACTGCCACCTCCAGCCTCTGCTTGGCCTACGTACCGCATTTTGCTGTCATCATTTCTGCACTTCTTCCTTCTTGGCTTTCATGTGAAAACCACTTCCCAGAAATGCCTACATCTACAAAGACTCAGCAGAATTAGACTGTTTGCAGACTCCTATGCACTACCTTGGCCTGCTCTATCCTATGGTACCTGCCTCCTTTCTTAGCAAACTACCTATGAATCTATTTGCTCTTGATTTATACTCTGGTTGTGAATGTTTTGGGACCTATTTTCTAAATTTGGCCATCAGTAAGTACAGGGAGTTCTGGTCCCTGGTGAGGATTCATATGCTCTGCACTAATACTGAGTAATAATTCTGTGTAAATCAGATGGGGTTCTTTAGCTCTCTTATCCCTTTCTCCAGGCTGACTGATGCCTGTGACTTTAGCTCTGCCTATAATCCTTCTCTCCTTGCCTTCTAGAGAACGACAGGACTGTGAGATCGCTCAGGAAATCCAAGTGAAGCTGGTCTTTGAAGCGGAGCAGCGCCGCAGGCAAGAGGAAAAAGACGAGGTAACCTTTAAAGCTGCAGGGATGGCAGGGCTATTTGTAGCAGCACTTTCACTGCAGGCATTTCTTGGTTGTTTAGCCACAGGAGTTGGCTTGCATGATGTCAGTCCTGGTCCTCACAGATCTCGGTATGCGCAGAGATTTTGGAGAGTCCTGTTACAGGAATAAGATAGTCATAGTCCTTGTGCTCAAGGGTCACAAGGGTTGTTGATGCCAGTGGCCTTGCTGACGAAGAGGGCAAGTAATAGGTGGGTCTTGTTGAGGTGTTCATTACCCTGCTGTAGGAAGTTGTAATTGTTTATGCACTCTGAGATCTGCTTGCTTTCTCAAATGCAAGAAGACAGGTACTACTTTTGGGAGAATCCTGGGTCATGATTTCTTTGTCTTTGGTGCAAAGACTTCATCAGGACCATCAGGCCATCCATCTCTGGCTTCTCCATTAGCTGCCTACCTTCATCTTCCACTTAGTCTTTCACAGTCTGAATACCCTGTTGCAGTTTCTTGCTAGCAGATTCCTTTTGTGATTTCAGAATATTGCTGCTGTGCTGCTGCTTGAGAGTGGGCAGTGTGGTTTGTCCATGGTGTTCAAAGGATTTGACTTGTTTATCACCTTGTGTCAGCCTGTCAGATTGGGTATTCAAGCAAGCCACGGAGTGGAGGAACACCTGTGTGAGCCCAGAGTATGGCCCTATTTTTGATTACAGATAGTTTCCTGTAGAAGTCTGAGTAGTCTTAAGATGCTTAAGAGGCACCTGGTGACACTTTGTCTATAGGAAGACCTTGAACACAAGGCTGTGTTTCATGGAAGAGCCTGGAACAAGAGTCTCCTTACCTGACCGATGCATCAGTCTGCTTGTGCAAGACTGCATTTTCTTCTTATACTATTAATTCCAAGCAAGTACTGAAAGGCTGCCCAGGCAGATGTGGAATGGCTTCCAAGAGGAGCTTGTGGTAACGGGGGTGAGAGGAACACTCTTGCTAAACGATTTGTGCTATAAATCAGAAAATCTGTCTTATTTTATCAGGAAGGTAAAGGGGATGCAATACTACTCATGTTGGCTGTGGAAATTGCACCTTTCCTTCCTGCTTTATGTTGAGAGCTGCTGAGATGTCAGCAGTTTGACAGCAGGTCTCTGCAACCTGTCAAACCAGCGTGCTGACCATCTTGTGCTGTTGGGAGCAGTCTTCAAATGTGTGACCCAAAGCAATGGGGAGAAGTCATAAATGCTCTTTCTCTTCCTGCTGGTACATGGGAAGTTCCCAAGTGTGGCCAAAATGTAGCTGTGAACTGAGTTAGGCTGCAGCTGGGTACCAGGGTGTGGCAGTACCATTCATCCTTGCAAAAGGACTTCTAGAGAGCTTGAATTGATACTGCTTTCCTTCCAAGGTCCCTCCCAGTGTTACTACTTTTGGGTGAGCTCCTGTCCTGATGCAAAGCCTGAGCAATGTGAGTGCCCCAGCGGTTTGTCAGCTGGCAGAGACAAAAGTCAAAGCCCCTTCTGTAGCCCTTGTCACAGCATCTATACATGTACCCTGCAGGACGTTCTGTCTTACAGCGCTACTGGACACATGCTGGACTATTCGTTTATTTGTCACATGTGAGGGTGTAGTAGCTGCCCAGCGTACGTGGTAGCTCTCTGGTATCAGTAGTGGCTAGCAGTGTTATGCCAGTGCTCTGCTTGAGGCAGATCCAGTCTGATGCACAGGGTTTTTAAATGAAGTGCTAAGCCTACCTGCTTACAAGTCCAGTTTGTAGGAAATGGTTTGTGTGGATTTGCAAGTCCTGAGCTGTCTCAGTCCTGGAGATAATGTGCGTAAGCCCACATATTTATAGACTTGCTAGAAGAGGTTACTTGCTAGAAGAGGTTAACCTTGTCAGGGGAAGGAATTGTTGTTGGTTTTGTTTTGGTTTTTCTTTTTTTACTAAAGAGCCTGTGGCATCCCCAGGTCCTCCACAAAGCTGGTTACTGTGCAGATCTGATCTGAATCCTGAAATAATAGTTTGTACTTGAACTAATAGTTTGTACTTGAACACCCATCCAGTGTCCTCCAGTGCTGGCTTTACTCTGGAGGGTGTTAGCTCTCAGTTTGCATTTCAATAATACCTTTCCTGCCTGCAATGTACACTTTACGTGCATGGCTCTGTAAAGGTCCTGAGGATTAGGGAGGCTTAAATGAGTGGCATCCAAAGGGCTAGCATGCCCTGCTGGTATCTTCTAACTTCTCTTCCTAGCTTCAGACTAGCTCCACTGACTCGCAAGCCTCTGGGCCCCAAATGAGCAAGCCCCAGGGAGCTGTTTGCTGTTGCTAGGCCTTGTTGATCCATTAGTCATCTCGAAGGAAAACCAATTAGGAAAACGGAGTGCTGTTCTCTTTGACTTATCTACCAAAAGTGCAACAGAAGATAAATGGCTGTAGTCCCCACAGTGCTGCTGCCTTGTGCCTAGTCCTCTCTTCCTAACGTCCCTTTCGATTTTCTTTTCCTTCAGCCTCTGTCTGTCAGATTGATGCATTTCCCTGCCTGGCATCCTACAGTCCCTGTAAATTACAGGTAGTTTGAAGTGAGTTCATGACTTGCTCTGGGAACTCCTTCCAGTCAGAAGTGCCTTCAGCTGAAGACAGTCTTTGCCTCTGTGTTTTTATTTCCCTGGTGTGCACTTGTGTGACTTCCAAATCCTTGCTGAAAGCCCAAGGTTGCACGCTCAGTCTCTTCTGCCATGCTTTGGCCATTAGGGCTTTGCAGGCTTGTGTGCAGGTGGAACAGGAACCCGTGAGTCTGCCGTGGGGTTGGAAGCTCAGTGGTGGGCCTGGGTGAGGTCGGATAGTGGTTGCTGAGATGGTCCCTTGTGTCAGCTGCTAAGTTGGAAGCCCCATCCAGCCTAGGGGTTGAATTTGAGAGTAATGCTGTTGTTGCCATGTCTGAAAAACTAAACCAATCATGATTTTTATAATTGCTTAAAGAATTTGAATAAAATAATCTGGAGATATTTTTAGAGGGGAAAGGTCATGTCTGTTTTATTTTATCTCTGCAGGACATTGCCCGTCTTCTACAACAGAAAGAACTGCAGGAAGAAAACAAGCGCAAGAAGCGCTACCCAGAATCCCAGGGACACACAGTCTATGAAGATAGCTATTATGCAGAAAATGGAGGTACGTTTCTTCTAGATAAAGGATCAAGATCATGGCAGTATAGGTGAACCTGGTGATCTGGCAGCTCCGTTGAGGAGACTTCCCTTATCCTACAGTCCTGCGTTCAGCACTGTAGCATTGCATTAGTTTCCAGGGTCAGGATCAGACTTTATTCTAGAATCAGGAAATATTAAAAAAAAAAAGTAGAGAAGACAACGTTATAATTTTTGATGTCCTAGAAGATGGCCTAAAGGACAGGGATAGGGTGTGTGGTGTGTGCATGTGCAAGCACACCCATGCATGCATGTTTTAAACAGCTTCTGGAAAGAGACAGTAGCTGATGGTACTGATAAAGCCACAGTTCTGTGTAACACCACAAGCGTGCGGGGAGAAATGCAGACACAATTCCACGCTTGTGTTCAAAGAGAAACAGTTCCGTGTGCTCATCTGCGATGCTGGCATGGCTACATGCATAAAGGAATAAATGCTGGTTCATGGAACAGCCTTTCAAAAATAACTCTTTGCAGGTATGTATCCAAGCATTAAAATTAGCACAACCGCTTTGAATGACTTACTGAATAACAAGGTCATCTCCACAGAGTGTGTCTGCTGCGATTGTCATCTGGGACTGTACATAGCGGAAAAGATATGACCCGCAGCGCTGTATTGCTTTCTGTTTGTCAGCTTTTATGATTGAATACAGACCTTCTTTAAATTGGGAGGAGGGAATCAGGGTGTGTTTAATTATGGACAATCTGGGAATGGCTTTGCTCTGCGCTGGTGATGGTTCTTGTGTTCTTCAAAAAAAAAGAGTGATGGGGAAGAGATGAGCTGCTTTTGATTAACAGATTATGAAGATGAAGATCAAACCTCTTATTTCTTACTTTAACATCAATGCTATTGTTGATTTTACATGTCTCTTGTTTGAACTTAGACAAAGTATTTTAGTTTCAGTTGAGAAGAAGTTCAAAGGTGGCCAGGAAAACACAAATCACAAAGTGCAAAACAGTAACCAAGTGGAAGCTTCATGACCACAAGTCCTGCTACATGTACGGAGCTGGGAAGGACTTTGATCTTGGAGTCTTATGGCCAACCCACACTTCAGTTTTTTAGAATTAAATGGGACAAGTCCCTGAAAAAATACAGTATCAGTAATAGTGTTGACATGCAGAGATAGTAGGACAGGATGGATTTTTGTAACAGAAATCAGCTGACAGAAGCCCATGACTCTCTGAACTGAGACTGTGGTGTGGATTTGGAAAGCAGGGTATCTTGTGGGTCTAACTTTTCTTCCTGCAATAATCTGTAGTCTCAGCAGTGAGGTAGAAGGTGTTTTGCCTGACCATTCATAGTAGTGCTGCTCTTGACCAGCGCTCCTTAAAAACTAGAAAGTACTGGAGTGGATTTTGATGCCTGGATCATCTAGTCCATTGATCTGGAACCTCTTAGATGCTTGGGCACCACTTTATTGGACTTCAGCATCCTCTGTTTGTATTGTCCTCATTACTTGTGGACTCAAACAACAAAAGTTTAGTTCTTTGGGTTTTAGTCTGTCTTGAGAGTGAATAAAAATTTGTCCACATCCAGGAGGAATGTTGCTCCAAAGCAATCTGAGCTCTTAAAAAGTGGAAAAATAAACATGGAAGAGTTCCTCCCAGAAGTGTCTGTGCCATGAAAAACATTTCTGTATTTGCTCAGTCACTTACTGCTTGAGAGAGTAACACCAGGACCTAAAGGGTATTTACACAACCCCTGCAGAAGGTGCCACAGGAACCAGTGGCTGCTGAGGAGTTAGTCACTCTGAGATACCCCAAAACCGAATCTTCTGCTTGGGCTGTCTGGCACGGTTGCATTACCTGCAGCAATCTTTCCTAGTGCGGCTACACTTTGCTTTTTTGTGATCTCCTGTTCTCTGCTCCTCTATTTATTGAGCTTTCCTTAATGACAAAATTGAATCAATTCTTAGACTCTAGTTAGTATTGTTCAAAAACTGACTCTTGCTTTCAGGCTCTGGTCTCCGTTGTTCAGTAAGTCACTTAGATTGTTTTATTGGATATCCATTTTCTGTAAATCATGCAAATGATCTAAAGCTGAACAGAAAAACCAACCAGTTAACAGCAACCACAGCAGTTCCTGTTACAGTTCTTGGATTTTTAAAAATATACCTGTTCTAGATAAAAGTCACACAGATTTGTTTTCAAGGTGGATTTTCTGTAGGCTGTATTTTTGCTGGCTCTGAAAAAGTTTTTTCTGAATAGAATGATTTGAAGGGAACATTCAGTTTTGGTGTGGTGGTTTTTTTTTGGTTGTGGTGGGGTTTTTTTCCCTCTGAAATCTAGATGATTCTAAGGAAGGCAGAGCTATTTATTAAAACAGAATGCAGTTCATGTGCAGTGAAATCTAAAAAAAAAAAAACCCTCAGCAGTGGAGAAGGAAAGTCTTACGCTGCTGGATTGTGGGTTGTTTTTTTTTTGTGTAATTCTGTTTCAAATCAGCCTCTGCTTCAAGGCAATTTTTTTCTTCAGAAATACACCTTCATTCTGAAAAGCTGCTGTAGAGAGATAATAGTTCACTCAGTGCAATGATTTTTCTTAGAAAACAGGTTGATTGGAAAAGAAATTGATTAGCAGATTGTATACAGGCAGACTGCTGCATCCTTATAGCTGTGTCAAGTTTATTACTGAAACTAAAAGCAAAGAAAATTTCCACCTGCTTTCTGGAAAGCACGGAGGAAACAACCCCGCCAAGCTGCTGAGTAAGCGACTTTTCCAGCTACATTGCTGAGGTCAGGAGCCTGGGTTTTGTGAAGTCTTATCCTGCCCTTAAATTTCCATAGCCCTCTTTGCAGTCAGAGCCTAAACTTTTATTTAGGCAGTGATTAAATGTGGATCCTGAAACTTCCGCATCTGCAAGAGATACGTGACAATCTGTGGTCGAAGATACTCAGGTGCTGCAGCTATCCATCATCTTGTTCTTGCTTTTTTTTTTTTTAAAAAAAGAAAAGAAATCCCATCCTGCTCATCTCTCTCTCTTCTGCTTTATGTGGGTCTTCCCACCATCAGGTTAGGCTGTTTTTTCTGATGAAAAACTTTGTGCCTGAGCACCAATGTGTTGCCCTGGCTTCCTAAACCAGGATCCAGCCTGATCCTCTGTTTGGCCCCTCCTGGCCTTACATTCCCCCCGTTGCCTCTCAGCCTCACCTGTGTCTTGTACCCTCCTTTGCAAGCCTTTCTCTGCTGGTTTCAGTGTCCTGCAGCAGTGACATGTCACCAGGAGATGAGCTGCTTTGCTGGCTGTTTTTCAGCCCCAATGGCATCATTAAAAGTCCTTCATCTCTGTATTGTCTTGTCCTTGTCTTAGGAGGTGTTTGGGCACACTTTGGGGCTGCACTTGTGCTTTCTGCTCCAACCCTCTTGCTCCCTGTGCTGCCCTGCTGTTAGCCAGGCTGCTGTTTCACTCTGTCCCCTGTTACACCCTGCAAGCATTATATCCCCAATGCTCTTCTTTCTGACCCTGTCATGCTTTGCCTGCGTTTCCAGCTTCTCCTTGCATCAAGCTCCCTTGTCTGCATGCTGTGAGTCTGGCCTTGCTGAAGCACCATTAACCCCCGTACCACTAATCCGCTTGTTGTTTGTCCCCCCGTTGCTCAGAGCACCCCTGGGGTGACCCCAGAGAGCAGGTTTCTGAGCTTCGCAGGGCACGCAGTGGTGACAGGTGCATGCACCGGCAGAGAGAGCAGCGAGAAGCACCCTCACCTTTGTCCAACGGTGCCTCCAAACGCGGGCATTCCGCCTCGGAGGATCATTGGAGGTCTCCTCAACCGGGTGAGACCAGCGATGGCTGTTGGCAGGAGTGGAAACCAGCCAGCGAGGGAAGGTCCAGGAGACATCCTAAACTTGACCTGGAAAGAGAGGCTGAACATGGCACCTATGACCACAGCAATAGCTGGGAGCTGCTGGAGAGAAGAGCAGCCGGCAGGGAGAAGGCTTGGAGACCTCTCAGTCTTGACCTGGAGTCAGAGCATGGACACGCAGAGCAGTCACGGTGCAACAGAAAGCCAACAAGGCAAGACAGAGAAAAGCACCTTCCCCGACTTGAAATGGAACTGGAGGCTGAGCAGGAGACCTGGCATCGGGGTGGCAGCCAGCTGGTGCACCCCAAAAAACACAAATCTCATCATCATGGCCACTTGTCACGTGGGATGGTGCATGATGAGAAACTCCATGATGCTGAGTCTAGAGATAATCATAGGAGGGGTGAGGAGAGAGACTGCAAAAAGGCAGGACGCAGGAGACATTCCCCCTCCCCGCATGCTGTGACCCAGGGAAAGGTTGGAGACTGCCAGCGAGACTCAGGTAATCAGGTGATGGGGCAGATATACGTACATGTGGGGACGGACCTTTGCGTGCCCCATCCTGGTGTCTGAAATCTGTGTTGTTTCCTTTGAAGATGCTTATCTCCAGTAAGCACCTGCAGTGTGTACATGGTGAATCCTTCCAAGGTTTCTCCCTTATTTAGTGAGATTCTTCTTATGCATTAATGTTCTTGGTGTGTTTTATTTCCTGACAAGTTCCATTGCATCAGAGAGGATGAGTAAGAAGGTATTGTTGGAAATGGTGCCCTTGGTATCCTGTGTTTTTAAGAAAAAAACAAATGCCAAAAACCCAACAACAAAATCCAAAAAACAACCAACAACCAGCTTTTGTTTTCATGGGATGTTTTGTGCTGTGGTCTCCTTGCGCAGAAGGAAAAGAAAAAGAAAAAAAAACACACAAAAAAACCCCCCAAACAAACAAAAAAAACAAAATAAAAAACCAAACAAAATACTAAATGTAGTGATTACACTTGTGTTTTGTTGATTTGGGGTGCAGGGCTGTAAGTGAGGACAGTTTGCTTAAGCACTAACAAGCCAGCAATTTCCATCCACTTCTTATTGAAAACCCTGCTGGCAACATAATCGATTCACTTTGGGCAAAGTTCAGTGGTGACACTAGGTGTCCAATTGTGCTCTATTTGTAAGATGGGGCTCTTGTCAAGTTTTGTACAAGTGGATTTTTCTGGGAAGTGTGTACCTATGTAGTTCTTGTTGTTCAGTAATACTTGGGGACTGGTGGGCTTTAAAGATCCAGATCCATCTTTCTGCTTTTGTAAACCACTCTGAGGGTCGGGGTGACCCGTCTCTTAGTGAAAGTAGGAGTTTTGAGGCTTGGATCTATGTCTGTCACACTGTGGGGAACTTGTACTTTAAACCATATAACTGTTTTCACTTGTATAAGGTGGGAATGATAATGTGGGTCTGTCTGTGGAGATGCTGGGAGAATTATTCTTCATCTTCATCATGCAAAAGTTTTCTTTAGGGAAGTGGAAGGTGTTAATCAGATTTTTATGTATAATCAGTAGGTCGTGATTTGCCCTGACGCAACATGGATCTGAGTGACTCAGTATCCTGTCACATTGAGTCAAAATAGCCAGAAGCTCACATCCTCATCCTGTGGGCTGTGGTCATGGTGGGCTTCGTGCTCCCCTGAGTGTGGGCACAAGTGATGTGGAAGTAGCATTTGTTGCTGTCTTCTGAGCAAATGAAGTCTGGCACCGATCAGTGTGTGAAGTAAGCTCAGCCTTGGGCTGCCCAGCAAACAATTCCTGGAAATTTACTTTTATTCTTCATAGAGGTAATGCTGTACAGGACAGCCATGCTGTTGTTCATTCCAGCATGGTAAACTTGTGTTTACCATGACCTTGGAAGCACTCTGAGTAATTTAACTCTGACTAAGCTAGTGCATTTTGCCAGAGTTTCTGTGCTGGCAGATTGCAACTCTTCACAGCTTGGATTGATCAAAGTGTGCTGGGAAAGGCCAGGTCATACGCTTAATCGTAACATGCCAAAGCTGAAGTTTTCTTAGGCTAAGATGGTTTGTAAGAGGAGTGTTGATCAGTTGATTCAAACAAAACAAAACACACCTCCTTTAATACCTATGGAAGAGGTGGTTTACTATTCCACAGTTTTATTCCGGGCTGATGCATGAAGTGTCTGGCTGTCTGCAGTTTGAAGTCTTTGGGATGCTTGGTGAAGTATGATGATAGCTTGTTGGTAGATGCACAGAAAGTTTTTTGAGGTCAGTTGGTTACTTCATGTTTTTCCCTTGGTCTTAGGAGATGGGAAGGAAACTGATAGGTGGCCTAGTAAGATGTAAGAGGTATTTATAATAAAAGTGTAAATGGTATAGCTGGAGGCATGAAAGTTTTGAGTGAAACTTTTCTGGGTTTGAGGTGGAAGAGAGACAGACATCTGGAGTGTTTGTATACTTCAAACATAAAGCAGGAAGCTCATTTAGATGTCTGAACAATGCAGTTCAGGCTGCAGATGGAAGGAGAAGGTATTCATTGTATGTAAGTGAAGTCGTGCATCTTGTAACAGGGATACAACAAGACTCCTTTGATGGCCTGGTGCAAATAGACTATGGAGAGACCCTCAAAATGCAACATTTTAAATGACTTGGAGATGGTTTAACTTTAAAATAAACAAACAGAACTCTACTCGAAGCAAGAACTGAACCTTGTATGAGCTTCAGAAATGTTTACTTAGCTGTTTGCTCACTGAATTGTAAAATTCATGCATTAGCCCAAGGAAGAAATTGTCTGAAACATCACGTGAGCCTGTCCCAGGCAACTTTTGCAGCCCGTGCCGCTACAGCGGTATGTTCAGACTTTACTGTGCTCGTAACAGATGTTGGGCTGCTCTCTGCTGCCCAGTTTTGCAAGTGTATCTGTATCAATGCAGAGTGTGAAAATTACAATTCCATTGCTAGCATTGCTGTGTCAGCAAAGGCTGCTTCAAGGGACATAGCCTCTTCTGACATGTAGTTGCATTTGTCATATAAGACATGGTGTATCAGATATTTCTATATGCATAGAGAAACCTCGCTGAGGTGTGTGCTGTACCTTAGCTAAAGGTACTCTCAGGTACTCACAGGTATGCTGTCGTGGTCTCTGGTTCCCTTGAGTGGGGCTTTTGCAGGTAGCTGAGGAGATGGTGGAGATTTCTGTACCAAAGCATATGGAAAATGGTTGAGTTGATTGTTTTCTCTCACAATTCTGTAGGCACTAAGTTGAGGGGGACGAAACAAGCCATGTATGATACACCCCGAAGGGAACAGGAGTTGTCTGATGCAGAGATTGCTCGGAAGCTGCAGGAGGAAGAGCTCCTGGTAAGTAGAGAGGATGCATTAGTCAGCTCGAAGGAACTAAGGTAGCCAGCAATGACAACTTTAATTTGTAAACCTTTTATATATGATAGTGGCTTTTAGACCTAAGGTCTTGCTACTGCGCGTTCTGATAATTACCTTTGTTTCCCATACATGCATATGGAGTGACAGCAGGCATCCAGCCAGTAGAGCCCTATTTTCTGAAATAAACACCCAAAAATTAAATGATCGAAGCAGAGTGATATTAAATGAACATTTCCAGGCAGGTAAAGATGGCCTGTAGTCAGTGTGGTCAGCCCAGAAGTGAGATAGGCTATTGCCCATCTTTGACAGAGATGGCAGCAGGATCGGCAATGTGTTGTGGTGTGGCCTGGCAGATAGATGAGGGCAGAACTCAGCTGAAAAGACAGTTTGATGTTGGGTTGTAAGGTTAAGTATTGAGGTAGCTAAGTATATTTGCAGAGGATGGTGGTGTGTTTGTATGGGCACCTACTTGCCCTGCCCAGTAGGTTAATGGTATGAATAATTCAGAAGTGTTACTCTTTTGTCTGTTTTTTCTTCCTTTTGTTTTTTTTTCTTCAGGCTAACGAGGCAGATCAGAAGGCAGCTCAAGTAGCCCAAGATGAGGTGAGTAAGAAGTCAAATGTTTACAATATTCATTTACTTGTAGAAACTGTTAAACCCCATTTGTCCCCTCTGACCCTCTAGCTGTTTGTTTCCCTCCTTGTAGGAGGGCTCCATCAATCAGGTATCCACTGGGCATGCTGCATCTAGTCAGTCTCAATTCTGCCCTGTCATTGATTTCTGATCACAGATGGGTGAAGCCCTGGCTTTGCATATTTCCCGTTCAGCTGCTGTCCATAGGAAAGGGTTTAAGTAACTCAGACCCACAAGAGCAGTGAAACTGTCTGACACACTCTCTGTATTTTCCCTTCTAGGAAATTGCCCGACTCTTGATGGCTGAGGAGAAAAAGGCTTTCAAGAAAGGGAAGGAGAGAGAAAAGTCTTCCTTTGAAAGAAGGAGGCATGATCAAGACTGGAAGGTATGTCTAGCTTCAGGAGGTGCCACAAATGAAGTGCTATAATGTTATTCCCATTTTCAGAGGGAGGTGAGGGGATGTGGTGAGAGCAAAAGGAATTACAGAGACTCTTGTATCCAAAGGGTCTTGCTGCATGTTATTCAGCTGCTTCCCAAGCCTTTTGGAGCCACCTCCTTGGTTAGATGCTCTTTGGCTTCAGCCTCAAGCAAGGCAAGCCTTGGGCTCTGGCCTTGGAGGCTGGCAGTGGATATCACAGCACCTTGAGACCTCTCTCAAGCCATGTCAGTCCTCCTGGTGCACACCTTCCCTCTGCTGAAATCCTGACTGTAGCAATAAAAGCAATAGTTGATTTTGTTTGTGCACTGCAGTTATAAGGACAACGCAGTTGCTCCAGTTACACTCTGCTTCATAACAAAATTGGCTCTGTAATGGAAGTATTGAGTGTATCAAGCCTAGGTTTTTGTATGAGTAATACTAGAGAGGTTTGGCTAGCCAATGTGGAAGGTGATAGGAAACAGATTTCATAGTCTGCACTGGTAAGATGCTAAAGGGGGTGTTATGTTAATTTTGGGGCCAGTTGGAGGTACCCCTGATGTTTTCAGTCTCCTTACTGTGTTTGAGTGGTTGGAGGAGCCCAGCTGCCTGCAACTGGTCCCTCATGCTCAGCCCAGCCATGTGCCCAGTCATTACACGCTGCCTGCATTCGACCCCAGGTTTGGGACTGGTCCTCCAGTGCTGTCTAATATTTAGAGCAAAAATTGAGTTTGGTTCAGCAAGGCTGAGTTTCATTTATTGGAAACTAATCCTGATGCTACTGTTTGCACATGCCTGGCTGTAGTTAGTTGTGTGTATAAACAGCATAAAAGGACTGCGTGGAGCTGTGGCAACCTCAGTGCACTGGCTGGTGTCTTGCAAGGCATGCAGGTGAGCTGCTTTCCCTTCTTCTTCCCGTCAGCATGATGCAAGCGAGTCCACGCGCTCAAGGTCAAAAGAAGGACCTGAAACTCAGCGACACAAAGGTGACAGGGCTTCAAGGTGAGCTTGAACTGGCTGGTAAAAATGGGAAAAAAAAAAATCCTAGGAAGGAGTCGTGGGGCGACCAGCCTGACCCACCCACAAGGGGCTTGGTAGAGAGCAGAGGTTTTAGCACAGAAAAGAGATGGAGAGCAGAGAGCTCGTGAGGTGTTCGGTGACATGTGTCACTCGCTGTGCTCATGGCATCTGTCCGTATCAGTCGTCGTGCCTGGTGCTGATGGAGATTGATGAGCTTGTGCAGTGACATTTGTGAAATGGCAGAGAAACACTGAGAGGGTTAAAGAGCTTCTGGGGATGTGAAACCAAATGTCATCTCTGGGCAGGAAGGAGTAATCACGATGCACTTGCACAGCTGCTCCCTTGGGTCCTTGCTCCCAGTTAAGCCCTATACACTGCTCCTGCTGCTGCATGTGGACACTCCCCCTGCAAGCAAGTACGTTGTACTTTGGGGTGCCTCATCTCAGAGCTAATGGGGAATGTGCTGTAGCCCAGTGCTGCTTCTGAATCACTTGATACCCTGGCCTCATGCTCCTCACGAGCGAGCCTGGGAGTGACCCTCGTGGCTTTGATTTCCAATCCAGATATAAGCCTAGAAACTCCTGTTGAATTTGCAACAGAAACAACAAATCAGTTGTGCAGGTGGAGACTGAGAGAGATCTTATTAAAATTGAGGTTAAAACCGGGCAAGCATTGAACAGTTTAAAATGTCACTCTTCTGAGTGAGGTTTGCGTCAAACTTCATGATGGAAATTCTTTGTTTCCTGGCAACTTGAAACAATTGCTAAATGAAAGAGGTCGATGAGAAGTAGTACATGCTGTGCATTTCTCACCACAGAAACAGTAACGGGCTGTGCGCAGAGGAGCAGGTCTGCAGGTAGAAAGTCTGGGCCAGACACAGTTTGCATCAAACTGACAAGGACAGACCAGGCAGCTGAGATGTTGCTTTTGCCACACTGTTACTCCTTTGAACTTGTTTTTTTTTCCGACACTTCTTTTTCACTGTGCTTGGCAGGTCACAGCCTCTCCACGATGACTTTGAGCACGCTCGGTATTACACAAGCCAACCCAGTCCCTTACGCCAGATCCCTAAACCTGATCACTCTCCTAAAGGTAGGATCAAGCCCATGGCTGCCCCAGAACTTGGGTTACTGTGGGCTGTTTTCCTCAAATAAGCAGCCTGCAGGACAGGATGTTTGAAAGAGATGGGAATAGGGAGGGGAAGGGCTATTATTGCCCCAGCAGGCAGGTGATGCTATTTAGTGTTTGAGTTGTACTTTGCTGAGCGCATTGCAGGCTAAGAGACTAAAAAGCTGAATTGAGTTTGTCAGACTGCTCTGTATGTGTCCACCATGATCTCTTATTGATGAATGACTGTAAATCCAGGCAGCAAATGAAGGAGAAATAACATGAAGACAATGACATGATGGATTTTAGGTGACTCACTAGTATCAAACAATTCAAGACAAGACAAAAATCTCACAGTATCACCTGTCTGGCGGGCAGATGGGATGATCAGACAGAAGCTTGTCCTGAGAACAGGCTTGTTCTGTTCCTGTAGCATCTCACACTGCTTTGTTGGCTTGTTTCCTGAAATCACTTGGCACAAGAGCAGAGTGGTTAGGGTCATGTGTCCCCGCCCAGTTTTTTAAATCTGAATGCTAATTGTCTGAGTTATCTGTAGAGTCTGAGGGAGGAAAGGGGCAGTCAGAGTTTGACTCGATCACTCAGGTTTCTTCTAGCTCCACTGATTGCGACTTAAATACGGATGCTTTACTTCTCAAAACTTAAAAGTTTGGGAAACTTGTGTGTTCTGTCTTCATCAAACAAGCTGAAAAGTTGATGGCAGTTCCTGGAGTCTGTAAGCCCAGCATTTGTTCAGTTTTCTTTAGTGAGACTTTGAAATGTGGCTGCAGCACTGTTCACAGCCTGAAAGAAATGCAAATGTCTGCCTGTCTTGTGGAGCTGTCGTTCCTTTTGCTCGAGTAATGTAACATACGGTTCCCATTCTGGCATTTGACTTTACCAGTACCCTGGAACTTACACAGACATCCAAGAGGGCAGGACAATTAAAAGATGACTGCAGGTACTATTTTCTTCACCAGGATCTATCCTTACAGAATTTTTTCTTTCTGTTTTGCTTTCCAGGTTCCCGTAGAAAGCAGTAAACTGTGCTAGCCTTTGCTTTGGTACTGACTCTTCTGTAGCAAACATTACTGGAATTGCCAGGCAACTTTCTCGATTCCTTACCCAACGGGAGGTCCACCCTCCACTCCCAGGATCTCCTCTTTAAGTGTCATCGTGTTAAGGAACGTTGTTCATTTTGATTTCTTACTTGTATGTGATGACTTAAGCAGTGCAGTATAATCTAGCCGCCACTGAGCTGTGTGAATCAAGTAGCTGACTTAACAGCTCCCTCTTACATTCTTTTGAGACTTTCCTTTTATTTTTATTTTTAAGCTTTGGCTGGAGCTTTGACAAATAGAGATGCATGTACAATAGGGAGGAAAATCCAAGATCGGAGCTGGGTTATGGTAATGCAGCAGAACGTCAGAAGTACAAGTCCTTTCCATATTAGGATGACTTAGCAAAGAGAGTTATAAGAGGAAACGTGTTTCTTCCTGTGCTGGATAAGACAGCTGAGCCAACCTGACAGTAATACTAGCTTGCAGGAAGGACAAAGCATCTTCATAAAGTACACCAGCAAAAGCCAGAACCTGGGACTGGTGAGGAAGAAATTGCCTATAGAACTAAATTTCTTAACTGCTGTATTTCTTTCTAGGGTTTCCAGCATTCTGGGTAGAATGTGTAACCAGGCATTTAGCTCCAGGATATAGAATAGAACAGTAAAAAGGAAAGACAATTTCAACTGAAATTAGACCTTGTGTGCATGACTTTTAAGACATGCCAGGGAGTTGATGAAGCTGTGAGTTGTGGATTGGGAAGAATCATACAAACAGATTTAAATGCCTGAAGGCATTTCTGTGGTCACCTGCTTTGAGCTTCAGTGTGTTAGAAGCCAAGGAATTTCACTGAAGCCAAGTAGGAACTACTGTAACTCCTAGCTCAGTTGCTGATGCACTTGAGTACAGTAACTTGTGTCTGAACCTGCATATGTCTTGGAAACGTGGGGCTCAGGGACGGCCATATGGGCGTTGAGCATTGAATTAATAATCTGTAGTTACAGGCAGCTTTTAGCTAGACACATAGTGCCAAACAGTCCACGCGATGTCTGTGCTGGCTGTCTCCTCTCTGCACTGCTCTGCCCAGCAGCCCAGGCAGACTCCAGTCAGAGTAAAACTATTGCTGTCTAGGGCATAGCAGGGTCTGCAAGTTTAAGTTGTCTGTGTAGTTTTGCCTGTGCAGTGAATTATTTTTTTTTTCCTTTCAATGGCTTGTTTTCCCTTCACTGTTTGAAAGTCGGTCTTCTTTTGCACAGACATGTAGCCTTTTCCCTTAGCCTCCTCTCATTTCAATTCTTTTGTCTTTTTAATAATTTTTTTGCCATTTTTTTTCAGGTGCGTTTTTAAACTACAAAGCTGAGCATCTGGATGCTGGCTTGGGAGTTTCTTCAGCCAATACAGGCTAGTTATTCATTTGCCAGTCCAGTTCACATCAGCAAACCTGGCTGCTTTGCCCCTGCAGCCCAGCTTCCTTAATGCCCAGCACTGAGTCTGTCCCACTATGCTCTTTGTCTCTGCTGGCAGCTGCAATTCTGCTGCTGGCTTTGCTGAGGAGGAGAGGCAGAGCTGTGCCTGCACTTGCCCTTGCCACGAATTTGCCTGGGAAAGGAACCCTAACAGCTCTGTAGAGCTTTGTGAGGAGCACAGGCTGGCATGGACCATGGATAAGAAATCAGGAGAGATCATGGCGCTCTGCTCTCACTAATACACAATTCAAGTCCCAAGGCAGCTGTAAGGCTTTAACTGTAGTGGTTGTTCTTGGTCAGGATAGTTATGGAGGCAAATCACTAGGAAGATAAGGCAACTCCTTTTTCACATAAGTTGCGGGGGCAAGCTTAATAGCACAGCACAAGCCCATGTCTTGCCTTGACCAACAACGCAAGAAACTTCCATCTCCTACCCCCACTGGCCTGTTGGCAGCAGTTCACTACCTATGAAGAACCAGATAACCCCTGATAGACCTCTGCTCCAGGCAGACACTAGCCAAAAATCTTTTAACATAGGACTTCGTGCATCGGCAGCATCCTGCTAGCTGCATACCCTTGCTTCCAGACTGTGGGCTTGCTCACCTGCATGAACCCTTAAGTGACTTGCAAGGTCTTGCTTGCTTGCTGCTGCTTCTCAGGAAATATCCCAGCCAGCGGCTAGATTTTACTGTCCTTGCCTTGTTCCCTCTTCTCGTTCCATTTCTGTCCATTCAGAAGTGTTAATGTTGTTCTAAAGGATCCAGAAAAAGAACAACATAGATCCTATTTTTTTCTTTCTTATTTGATAACTTGGGCCAGTGTGGCAACCTCATCTGCAAAGATTTTATTTTGTAAAAATTTATTTTTGTATTTCATGTAACAGTCAAAATTTCTACTGCTGAAAATGCTGGGTGTTTTTTCTGTGGGTTTTTCCCCTCCATTGCCATCAGAGTATTTATTGTTGTGAAATGGATGCATGATGGGGTTTTATGAACTAACGCTTTCTACAAACACCTCAGTCCAGGCCCTGCAGCTTGTATCATCTGATGTGCTTGTGAAAACTGGATGGGGAAAAGTCCTGCCAAATCAGAAAGTGGTTGTGCTTTGTACTTGCTGTGTGTGGGGAAAAATGGTGACCCTCTGCAAAAGTCAGGGGGAGATGGCCAGCTAGGAATTCAGCCCTCCCTGGGCCTCTGTAGCTGACTGTGACAGGCTTTCTTGCACTGCAGTTGGCTGATGTAACTGCTGTCTTACCCTAATCAGCAAAATCATGAAGGCCCTGAGCCTGCTGACATTTGAAGAACCTATTCATTCAGGAGGGATGCTTGGGGGTATCCAAGTTGTTGACTTCAATAGGAGTGAGTGGACATGATATGAGAGAGAACTCCAGTTGATTTTATTTGGAAGCTGGGTAAAGTCTGAAGAACACCTCGATGTGTACCCTGTGGAGCTGCAGGATTTCCTTAACGGCCACCTCGGGCCAGCCAAGCTCTGCAGCCCTGGCACCGAAAGACGAGAGCCCAAGCAAAGGATCCCAGGAGCATCTCCTGCTTCCTTGGATGCCTACAGGGAGTGCTGAATACTTCATGGGCTGCTTTGCTCTATATCCTCCCTTAGTCCTGACCTTTTTATTCTTACTCCCTACTTTTATTCATTTGCTGTCCCCTGTAAATGTTTCTCCTGTTTTATTTTTCCGTAACCCTTGTGAAAAGGGGGGCCCTGAGGCTTTGTTAGAAGGGACTGACACCTATCGAGAGAGAGAAATGCTAGAAATGGTAGCTGAGGAAAGCATGTAGTAAATGGGGTTATAAAGAGAGCAATTGTTCATCTAATATACCTTGCAGGCCTCATCCACTCAGCAGGTTAGAGACTTCCTGAGGCAAAGGTTGCAACTGGACATGCATGTTTAGTAACCACTTTTGGAAGGCGATTCCATGATCCCATTGAAGTCAACAAGAGTTAAAGATCATGGATGAACAAGGAGCCAACTCATCTTGGGGCTCAGCAGCCACGGTTCTGCTGAGAGCCAAGAAGATGCTGCTTGTGTAAGCAAGATGCAATATCAGCACCTTGCACGTGTGTCCCTGCAAAGAGGCACAATGAAGTTGATCTTTTAAACAGAATCGATCAAAGCAATATTTCCTTTCTATGACAGAAAAATGTTTAAGTAACTTTATTTTTTCCTTGTCTTCTCTTGCCAAGTTTTAGTAGCTTTGCCTATGGGTTTGCTCTGGGTTTAATAGCATGTTGGAGCCCTTGCTGGGACCCCTGCCTGGGTCATTCAGGTCTTGCATCCCTTGCTGACTCTGACAAGGCAAGAGGCACCGTGTGGAAAATTCATCACCGTGAAATCCTGGCACTTCCTAATCTTCATAGTAGGCACATCTCACCAGCAGGAGCTCTCGCCACCTCCTTGCCTCCGTCCGAAGCACAATGGTCCACAGAAGAGAGGTCAGGCGAACCGGAGTGATCGTGCCTTACATGCAGGGATACTCGATGTCTTCAAGCAGGCTGATCTGAGTCGCCTTGCTAAGAAACACTGTCTTAATGTGGACTGTACAGCTTCCTGCAGCGAGAAGCAGTTGTCGTCACGTGAATAGATCCAACAGGTTAATCTCATCTTTTTTAAAGAACTTCATGGTTTTGAACTTAGTGGGGTGGGAAAATATCATCTGTTAGGGGATAGATGAAGTCTCATCATTAAATTTCTCCTCTTGGGGAGGAAGGATAGAAGTTACAAATGCTGCAGTCTGTTTCACTCTGTAAAAGGGATCTTGTATGTACAGTATTTTTATATCTCTGCATTCCCACATGTCAGGATTTGAGTCAGGATTAATAACATTCTCTTACTTAAGGAAAAAAATGGATTTTTATTTTTACAGTGCTAGACCTTTGTGCATTTTTTTGTGCCAAATTACTGCCACTGTTACATTCTAGTGTTTTCAGTTTATTGCTATTGATCAATGTGTATATTATATATATTTTTATTATCAAGGTTTTTATTTTAATTCATATTAACCTGTATGCAAACTAACTGTGGATTGCTAATTTATATGTAAAGGGGAGCACTTGGAGACAGTGTGAGGATTCCCCTACTTAGTTTACACTCTTGTAATCTAGCACAGCCAGTCCGTGAAACTCATCACTTACTACACAGAATGATCTCCTGCACCCTGAGCAGATTGCTCCTGCTGTCCCTCACGCAGCACTGACACTGCAAGGCGATGTTGGATGCAATAGGAAATGAAGCACAGCATGGACTGATGGGTGGCCGAGCTCTCTGCTGTCCTGCTCCTGGCAATGATGCCAGGGAGGGTGCTGCAGCAGAAATTCCCATCTGGGGGTGACTTTTTGAGGTTTACTGTGCCCTCTATCCATCCGCAGCCAATGGACAGTTGATTTTGCTCCACTCTTAAGACGCTCTGTGCTTGATTTTGCAGTTGCTTTGAGAGGTCAGCATAGGATATAGCGCTGAGGCACAGCTGTGTCCCTCACGTGAAGTATACCACAGACAGCTTCCCTTTTTTTCTGTTGTGGAGGACAGGTATAAACCTACAGAGATCCCAGTTTACTGTACTCTTTAAAACACATGCCATAGCACATTTCTGGCTCTGCAGCACTGCTGCAGAAGCTCTGGCTGTGCTGCACCCAAGTGCTGCTTGGACTGCTATGCCCAGGACAGGCTGCAGGACACAGGTTTTGTGTTGAGAAGCTGCACTGCCCTCAGCTTCTGGTCTGGAGGTATCATCAGCCACCTCCTCCCTGTGAGTAGCGCAGGGCAAGGCTTAGCTGTGCAATTTGAGCTCTTCCAGGAGAGTCCCGGAGAGTACAGTGGCACACACGACGGAGTATTTTCTACTTCATGGTAAACAACTTCCACTGTATCAGTGTTCACTCTAAGTAGACTCCATGGTCTGTCTCCAGCTGCATCTGTGCACCGCAATATAGTTAATTGCCTCAGAGA